CTTCCTGTGAGTAAGTCTGTGTGAGGTCATGACACGCAGGGGGGGAGGTGCCTTTCTTCTGTCCTATACAGTTGTGGATATGTTTGCTAACTGAGAAGGCAAAATGCTGTGTGGACATAGTTTTGAAAGCAAAGTTTGGCTTTTTATGAATCTGACAAGGTGAATAAATCACTGAATAATAGCTTGCTTGCAATCATGTGACTATTATGATGGGTGTAATTCAGATCAAGGACAGGATGTGACAAATTCATATACTGCGCAAAGTGGAAATATAGGAAAGTGACTATATAAAAGGTTTGGATGAACCTGCACACAGCAGGTATCATCACACAACTGAAACTCATGCTGGATGTGAAACACACAAAATGAAGAAAAGCAACTCAACACATCGCACAGTGTGAATGTGATCAGCGTTCCAAATTACCTCATCCTTCAGGAGAATGTGAAGTTGACATCATGCTGTGTTGATTTTTTTGGATGGGGACACCACTTTGTGGGGACCGTGCGGTGTTGCCTTTACCTGTTCAAGTTGTAAATCAACATTTTTGGACAAACTAATCACAATAAACAACAAAAGCAGGTTTCCACCAAACACTTTTGGTATAGTACCCTTAGATCCTGCATGTAACCTGTAGGACATGTACCTAAACCCTAGATCTGTTTTGGGTTTCCACCACAGACAGTGCTCTTAACAGTAGGTGGGGTTGTTACTGGATAGTAGTGGCCATGTCATTGCTTCATCCAGCTCTTTAAGTATTTGTCTTCATTTGACTCAGACCAACATCTGCACCTCATTGATTGTCCACAGAACAGGGTTGCACGCCGATACTTTCTGGATGAAAAAGAGCAGACTGAATTGTTTAGAGTCTCTGTTGCAATCAATTAGATATTTAGAAATAGTGTGTTTGTGCATTGAGTCCTTGTCGAGCAAGAGCATTGAATTTCTTTTGACCAATCAGCAGACTGCAGAGTTTCTAGCTCCACGTTTTGGTGTCGGATCAGTGTGCAAGGCACCCTAGACACCTCATGTCAACATTCTATTGGTACCATCACCATCTTTTGACAAATGAAATGCAAAAATAACAATTCAAATGTGTTGCACACTGAACCGAACTGAACTGAACTGAAATGCAGCTATCCATATGACTTGGCAGCCCAAGGCTGGATTACATACCCAAATGCACTACCTCCTCTCACATACCCAGACAAACTATCTCCTTTTAGGACATATTGTATGAACTTCGCTAATAGAGATAACAGAGTGGTAGCTTCACAAGATGGCGCCCCAATCCTACATGGAAAAACGTACCTTCTCATTCACTGTAAGCGGCGGACGAGATGAAAAAGTAAAAGAGCTGAGTGGACTATTATTATTTTGTGAACGGTTTGGTCAGCAACCTGGGAACCAAAGTAGTGTTGAACAACTGCCATCTTGTTTTTGACCGGGTGAGTAAATGTGCCCGAGAAGTACTGTTGTTTCATATTTCAACTCTGTACATGGATACATTGCTGATGTCAGCTACGAGCTAGCTAACTGAAGCTAGCCGCTTTCTACCTACATAGCAACCTTTCTCAAAAAAACCTGGGTCGTGTGCTAAAAAACACAGAGAAGTTGTCATATTGTAGTTGTATGGCAATGCCAACACAAGACACGTTAAAGGGATAGTGCACCCAAAAATGAAAATGCAGCCATTATCTACTCACCCATATGCCGACGGAGGCCCTGGTGAAGTTTTAGAGTCCTCACATCACTTGCGGAGATCGGCGGGCTTAGCGGCTAGCACACCTGATGGCAGACGGCGCCCCAGACTAACGTCCAAGAACACAAAATTGAATCCACATAGTATCTCCATATTGCTCATCTGTAGTGATCCAAGTGTGCTGCAGCCGCGACATAAAAAGTTGTTTCTAAAAACGTCATATGAACTCTGTTTTTAGCCTCACTGTAGCCTGTAGCTCTGACTGTTTCTCTGTGCTCCGCGTTCACGTGTGCGCGCCTGCACGAGACCAGTGAAAGATGAGCTTTGCTCACCCGTGTTTACATCACGTGACACGTGCACCGCAGGGAGAGACAACGGTAGCCACAGTCGCTAAAAGATAATTTGCACTACGGTCTTTTAGCAAAGGACAGCCCAACATGTCTGAAGACTTTGAAGTTGAGAAGGAACAGCATTTCTTTGTTGAGCCGTATTTGTTTGAGCCCGAGTATACGGACGCAGAACTCAGGCTACTGGACGAAGCAGCCGCTGCATCTCATGAGCCTCAGCCAGCCGCAGAATACCGGAGTCGAGCACTGGAAACCTGGTGGTGTAGTTGTTTCAAATGCAAAGCAATGCCAACGGATGAGGAAAGTCTTTGCTGCTCAGACTGGGAATTGGCGATGCCTGCACTTGAGAATCTGGACATCAGTACCGACGAGACTGCTGCTCTTCAGAGACCGTGCATCACCGATCACCCTGAGCGCACACACGTGAAAGCGGAGCACAGAGAAGCAGTCAGAGCTACAGGCTACAGTGAGGCTAAAAACAGAGCTCATATGACGTTTTTAGAAACAACTTTTTATGTCGCAGCTGCAGCACACTTGGATCACTACGGATGAGCAGTATGGAGATACTTTGTGGATTCAATTTTGTGTTCTTGGACGTTAGTCTGGGGCGCGGTCTGCCATTAGGTGTGCTAGCCGCTCCCCCCGCCGATCTCCGCAAGGGATGTGAGGACTCTAAAACTTCACCAGGGCCTCCGTCGGCATATGGGTGAGTAGATAATGGCTGAATTTTCATTTTTGGGTGCACTATCCCTTTAACGTAACACTTTTAACATTAATGTTTATGTTTGACGTTAGCTGACTTTGCTCCTCCAGACTTATGATGAAGGTTTTTGATCCATGTCTGCCACTGCCTGTTTATTTCTCACCTTTACATGCTACTATTTTCAGTACCCAACAGAAGGTCTTGTTTTTTCTTGATTTGATTGATAGGAACAGCTGTAAACAGCACAAATCAAAGGCATTTATGCAGAGTTGATAGTCACTGTCTCAAGTTGCCTGCAGATCAGGCTTGGTCTTGAGTCTTGAGATCGGCTTCAAGGCCACTTTTTGAAGGTCTCATCTTGGAATCAACTACATTTTTACTCCATCTTGTCTCAACCTCAGACAAAGAGGAATCAGGATTTTATTTCAAGACTGGTCACTAAATTGCCTGTGCCAAACAGGAACATTGGCCTGTTTGTTTGCTCATAGAAAACAGAAAAATTCCTACACATAAAATTCACCTTTGCTTTACCTTATGAGACATTTCTCATGATATGCCTATACGGTATGGCAATAAAAGAGGGGGATGAAGAGGAATCTCTGTTTGTTTTCTCTGGACTTTTTCATGGGAATGTGGATTTTTCAGATCAATTTGAGGAGTGCCTATTTGCATGTTCCACATTTTATCGTAGGTGTGTCACGCAGTGTGGGACTCACACTGGTCTGGTCTTGGTCTTGACTTGGTCTAAACCACTCAAACTCTTGGTCTGGTCTTGGTCTCCATACACTCTGGTGTTGGTCATGACTTGGTCTCAGGTTAGCTGGTCTTAGCTATGGTTGCCTGCCCTCCATCTGGACAGCACACTGATGTATGACATCATATGCAAAGGAGCTGTAAATGATTTATACACACAAACTCACTTTCCATTAGGGATCTTTTGATGGTACTCCAAAACTGAAAAGACTCCACAAGCAGGATAGCGATCATGTTTTTAAGTGTTGTTTCTCCCAGAATGTGCCCCCCGTGTCTGTCGAGGAAACCCAAAAGGGCTGAGTCAGAGATCCCATCTCTTCCGGAGGCAGGGCCAGCGGTGCTCCCCTTTGAAAAGCAACATGGAAAGATCAACGGGCATCTCCTGAGGGAGCCACTGGGCCATACTGTGCTGCTGCCCAATGGCCAAACAGCCCTGCGGCCTGTAGTCTGCTGCTACGGCTGCTGCTGGGTTGGTGTTGTTTACTTTGGGAGGACTTTCAACCCTGTGCAGCCATCTAGGTCTCTGCATTCTCTCTTTCTGTATGTCTACCTCCGCCTCTCTTTTCCACTCATTGCAGCTGCTGGTCACTTATTATTCCCACTCTGTCCCAAAGCTGCAACTCTGTGACAAACATCAATTACTTTCCATCACGTTACAGATCATAACTGTAAGCTTGCTGTTTGCATCACTCTGTGTGAACGTGGTGGTTGATGTGACCCTCAGCTCTGTGAACATCCATCCAGATGAGAATGCAGGGAGGATTTCTGCGCTGTTGTGTTTATGTTCCCTCCCTCACAGCACCATGGATACCAGTCAGACAGTGCCAAGGTAGGACCACCTCATAAATTCAGAAACCTATAAATATTTGCTCGTGTTTTGAGTTCAGCACTAGTTTGCATTTACATATCTGAAGGTGGTTTGGTAATTTATCTGCGTTGAAGCTCAAGGACTTAACGCCTGGTGGTCTCGGTGTAGGAATTGTGTTTTATATAACACCCAGCAGCCAATGAACACATGCCAAACGTTTCCATTTGCCATTTACAGCCAAACTCGACACTAGTTACACTAACACTGAAAAAATAAAACTTTATGATGGATGATCTTTGGCTAAATCAAATGGCACTGGTTGTATCAGTCTAACAAAAAGTCAGAAAGTTTGATCTCTTGCAAAAGAAAAGAAAAATAAGTGCAATTACAATGTTCATCTCCAAACTGTGGATGTGGCCGCTGCGTTGTGCAGCACATTCCTCCACACTCAATAAACTCAGCTAAATCAATATGTCAAAGAGCAGACAGATAACGCTAAGCCCAGACATAAATCTTAACCATCTCTAAAAATCTTTTCATGTGGTATTACTCACAGGCCATATTCGCTTAAGTACAGTAAACATTGTGACAGGTACTTTGAGCTGCTGGTTCAAGAGGACACAGGAAAGTGGATTGTGCTTTGAGCCTTCAGGGGCCGGGAGAAAAGAAAAACTCTTAAGTAAAAAAGCTGTCAGGAAGAATAAAGGCTTGCTTTAATGAAACATAAGCAGAATGTGGGAGCAAACCACCCAGAGAAAGCTGGAAATCAAAATCTGCAAGAATCTTTTTTTGGTTTGCGATGCAATTTTTGAAAAACAATTAGGTAAATTTCTGAAAATGAAGCACAAATTTTCAGTTTTTCTCCCCAGGAAATACTTGGCTTATGTGCTTTCCTCCCAGTCATGAAAACATCTGAGAAAATAGCCAGTTTTTGTTCCGCCAGGGAGAAAAAGGGAGTTAAAGCATGGCTACGATTGCCTCATACAAAAGTATGCCTGAGTAATATTAATATTATGCAAGAACACAGTTCTTTCCACAAGTCTTTTTCCTTTAAAACACAGGGTCACTGTCAATTCATTTGCATCACCAGAACAATTTATTGGACTGAAATTTAAATAAAATAATTTCTTATGAAAAAGAAAAACAACAGCAAAAAAACGATGCTAAATAAACATGATATTTAGAAAAATAAATAAGTCCAGAAGAATGAATGACATGCCCTTTTTGGATGAAGCAAGTTGTGAGAAAAAAAAGAAAATAAAAGATAAGAAATAACCGTCTTTACGCCAAGTTTCACGTGTAACTCATCAGATTGCCTTCAGGTTTAAATCACCCCATGACTGTGTCATGGCCTGAAACACTCCGACCACACCACTGCTGCAGGACGTAGAGACAAACAGTGTGAAAAATCAAACATGGAATTTTAATGTTGCATGCCACTCATGCAGCTGGATTTTAAAAAAAATCTTGCCACAACATTTTGAAAACATTGCATTGCTATATTTGCTTCTTTTATTCCCTCTCTCAATTGTCCACTTTAACAACTCATTCTGTTCAACTCCTGGACCCATTACACTCCCTTTAATCCTCACAGGGATTAGTCAAAGTCATCAAAGTAACATGAATTTGTTCAGAGGTGACCTCACTCTCCTCTTTGGTCTAATTTTGGTATAAAAATGATGCAATAGTACATGCTTGCATTGTGAAAGGTACACAGTTTATAGTGAGTCGCAGTGCAGCCAACAGTCTTCTTTTGCAGTTTATGTCTTGTAACATAAAGGTCAGTAGGCCCACAGCTATTCTGGGTGTGCTTTGTTCAAACAAGCCAACCAACTGCTTTACATGTAAAAGAGTTTTTGTAGCTCTGCTTTGAGAATAGTACCTTAATGCTGCCATTTCAACAACATTTCAATGTCAGAAATTAGTCTGGAAAAAGTTGATTATTTGCATTTTTTTTCAGTAAATAATTAAACAAAACCACCAGATGACATTTATACCCTGTTTAAACCAAACTAGTTTCAGTCAAATACAGTAAGAGCTTTCAGTGGAAAATGTGCAGATTCAACACTACTGTACTACAAACAACCACTTATAAAGGAAAAACAATAGAAAAGAAGACGTCAGAATGGCTTAACTTCTACTCTATTTTGATATCTTTATTAACAATCATAGCCATGTTTTCAACAATGGAAGATTTATAAATATTTTTTTTCTTTTGATTCATAAAAGTTGTCTTGGCGCTTGTGGCTTGATTCCAGTTGTGGAAAGAAAACAAAAAAATCTAAATGTCCTTAAAGAATATAGCGCTTTAGGAAGCAGTGGTATCCAATCAACAGCTTTTTCGTCGGAGAGGAAATCCGTTATGTACACGATGGCTTTATTTTAAGAGATCTGGGTCTGTGCCATGGTGGATGGGAGAGATATCGAGTGCATGGCGGGGTCCAGAAACCATCCAAAGCAGACCACCTGATTGATCATCTGGCCTGGCGATTCCCTTTGTTTTCTTTAAGGCAACAAGATCCCCCACACCAATCTGGAAACCAATCCCAGCTATTCCGTGCTCGGGTCAAGCTTGCAGTGTGACTGAAGGTCGCCTCACCCTTCTTTTCCCCCTGTCCGACTCTTCTTGCATCAGCTGCGAGGAAGGAAACAAACATTGCCCCTTGAATACTTCCACACTACATAGCATCCAGACAGAGGGGCCAGGGATTGCTGTCCTCCCAGAGATTTAGATGTTCAAGCTAAAGCCAAGGGGCACCAGGGTTCACCCCTCACTGAAGCTACATCTGATGGCTGGGACAGACCCACGCTGGTGTACAGGCCATCCTGTCCCGGGTACTTCACCGTTGAGCTGGAGCCGGTTCCCTCCCCTGAGCTGGACAGCACGGATGAACTGACCTACAACAGAGCAAAGGAAAAATATGCATTGTTACATTAACTGTATTTTCAAAGCAGACACAACTTGTATGAATTAAGCATCTTGTCTCTCCACATGCCGTAAACATTCAGGGCTCATCCAACCGTGGTTTAGTTCATGCTCCCCGGGGGAGTTTTTCCATTTATGGCAACGACATGCACTGTTTTTCAAACCAAATGAGATAATAAATGCTTAAAAATCTGTACAGTATTAGGAAAAACATGATAGTTGCCAGGGGAAAAAACCTCCTCTAGAGCTTTAATCTAATTCTGTATGGAATTGTGCACCAGCTGTCTTCATCATTCTGAAACCATAACACAACAAATATTGAGGATGACTAACTTTCACTGCTGCCACCTAAAAAGGGGCAAAACTGACTATTATTGTTGCTATTTTGAAGTCACATAAAAAAGAACGGTTAGATGTTTGGTGAAACCTATGTTTGTTACATGATGCTGGAGTAGAGTTCCCAGAACAAGCCTTTAGCTGACAGATCTGCTGCATTTCATATTAATAATAATAATAATGTGATTTCAAACCAAGGTTCCACAACAATTGCCAAGTAAATATGGTCTCCAATACTAAGTCAGCAGAATAATAAATGTGAGATTTCTTTAGTGAATAGTCTAGTAGTACAAACATCATGGGCATATTCCTATCTGGATGACACAAAGTTTAAGGTATTTTAAAAACCCCAAAGTTTCGGGGCATGTGAGAAAATATTCAGGGCCCCAACACCCCCACTGAAATGCCAAAAAGCACCAGATCCTGAGTAATGTGAAGCTCATCTCACTGTAATGTCACCGTGACACATTAGTTAGCAGCAGTCATCACCACAGACCATCAGTCAGCCTGCATGTGATCTGTTTTTTAACAAAACACCTGTTGTAGCAAAATGCTTTCAGGGTTGTTCATCAGAAAATGTTCAACTCTGAGGACAAAGTTTGACATTCAGTGTTTTAATATCAGCTCTATTTCAGGTTTTAAATCATCATCATGTCACCAATTATAATTCACTGAATTTAAATGGAGCAGACGGCATTGTAATTTTATTCAAATAAAAAAATATTAAAGAATTAAAAAGTCCTTCTTACCCCTGACACCTGTGCGGAGGGAGAGCTGGTTTTCGAGCAATCTTCGGAATTAGATGAAGATGTGGATGTGGGAGTCATAGAGACAGAGTTGTTATTTCCTAAAAATATATATCTTGTTTAGATCATATTGTAAAAAAACAACAACATATTGATTATAATTATCCACAAGAATATATAGGCAATAATCATCAGTGACTCACCAGAGGATCCCTTCGTTTTATTCAAGGTCTTTGGTTTTCTTTTTCTCGTCTGGATTCCCTCTTTCTTCATGGCGAGCGGCCGAGGTACCTGCGCATTGGATCCGTTTTTGGAGGCCAGTTATTATTATTATTTATTTATGTTGCGTTGGTTTATCAAAGTGATTGTTGCAGTTTAAAGAAATAAATATCTCTATATAATAAAATCTCCACTCACCCCGTGTAATTTTGTGTAGAGACCACACGCGTTACACACCGGCTCTCCCTCCGCGTTCCTGCGCCACAAAGTGGTCGTGCTGGTTTGACAGTTGGCGCAGGACAGGCCGATTCTTCTAGACGTTGACTGGTGACACAAACGCAACATTAGATTAATCATCCTAATCAATACAAACCTGGAGCATTCACAGAGGAAGGTGGTGTTAATAAGCCTGTCAAGAAGTGGAGTCTTTGCCTGTCACTTACAATTAAGGAAAATGTTTTTAAAGTAAAAGCCACACTCTGCAAATTTCATTACAATTCGACCATTCACACCCTATTTCCTAACAATAATACCGGCCCTATTGTGATCTCCATTAACTGCCATTTACGCGCAGCTTTTTCCAGGATTTCAGGGAGTCACTCGTGTCATTAGATTACTTGTAACAACTGTGCTTAATGCGCGTAATGGCTCCAGGAAAAGATTTGTCCTTACTGTCTGCCGTTAAGATAGAATAACCAAAGGGAAGCACTGACAGATTAAGTGCCTGATTAATTACGTTAACAAATAGCTGCAGTTATAGGTGATTTAAATTTAATGAAATCACTGCCTTCTGTTCGGTTCAAATAAATGATGGGAAAATTACTAACAGATCTGTGCACGAGCAAATCTTCCAATCCTGCGTAATTTCTGTGATTGTTGGCAAATAAATTAATTAATTATTAAATTAATTTTAATGGTATAATGTGAGTATTAATGTCATCACTTTGCACAAAAAGCACAAACAAAAATGTCAAATGTATTTGTTGTGGTGTGTTTTACAAATATATTTCTGCCCATTTTACATCATCAGTCACATAAAGAGACAAAAATATTGTTTAAAAAAAATATCAGCTCTAAAGTAAAAGTTATATGTCTCATAAAAGTCTCCTTCTCCCATCGGACACTGCGTATGACATCAACCATAACCTCCAGCCATTGTTTAAAACGATTAGGCAGGAAATTGAGCGGTTAAGTGGTCCCCTGCTTACCGTCCGTTTCTGTGGTTTAATTAATGGCCGGCTGAGCCCATTCATTTTGCTGTAAAGGCCGCAGGCGTTGCAGAGAAAGTGGCCCGTGCCGTCGCGCCTCCAGAGCGGCGTGGAGATGGAGCCGCAGTTGACGCACTCTCTGCTCTCCCCCATGTCGTCGAGAATATCTGAAACTGAAAAGAAAGACTGAAATGAGCAGAACGCACAGCTTTAAAACATAAAGATCTGCCCGCAGGTTGTAAGTTTCATAAAGGAATGTGTTCCATCAAAGCAAATCAAATCAGATCCACTGATTTAATTTGATAACCCTGAAACACTTTCAATATATTTATACTTTTTTTAAGTTTTACTTTAAAAAACATTTTATGGTTACACATATGTTGCTCAGTTTCAGGCCTGCGCACAAAAATACGCATATTTTCCTTGCAGGATTCACACACACGCGCCATTTCAGACCAAATCTGGACTCATTTTAAACATTGTAATAATATTTTTGTGGTAATTTATTAAACATTGTTTGGCCAGTTTAATTATTTTTCGAGCTTTTAACTCCCCCACAGAGAGATCAAGTTGTGTTACAGAAGCGCACTGCAGTTGAGCACTTTGCGTAAAGACACATCACAAGGAATTTTATTATTGTTATTTTTAAAAACAGTGAGAATGAAAACGATTCCATCTAAACGCCCATCTCTACTTTGCTTTTTTCTTACCTCCGTTTGGTCCTCGAATCAAGGGCGCGCCTCTGCTCTGCAAGGTGTGCAGCATCGTGTTATCAAAAGGTCCCCCGGTCCAAGGCGAGGGCAGCTGGGAGAGCTGCGGTGCGACATAAGGAGAGTATGGACTCGCGTAGGTCCCACTGATGGGCCGAGAGAGGCCGTACTGGTCTCTGCTGCTCACATTCAGCGTGTTACTGTAGCCGGTGTCCCTGGGCGTCCCGTTATTCATGGGCGGGCTTGGAGGGTAGTGGAACCGAGTGGAGGTGTGAGGGCTGCCGGTGCTGTATGAGGGGCTCTCCGGGGCGGACTGCGACCAGACCGAGTGGCTGGAGACGGCGTGGCTGGGCTGCGCAGAGCCGCTGGCCTGCAGATACGAGAGGCTGGGTATCATGGGGCCCACTCTGGAGCTGGGGACATACACTGGGGAGTTGGGGTTGGAGTGCATATAACCACCAGAGGAGGAATCATATCCAGTCTGGCTCTGGGCTGCGGCGATGGCCAGTGTTTGGTACATGTCGGTCGGGTCCACCAGCAAGCTCGCCTTGTGCGCTCCGCTGGAGAGGACGAGTTTGCTGCCTTGGTCTAAATCCGTAAACAGCGGGATGTCCTCGGCGGTGGGCAGGGTGTTGTTATGGTGTCCGAAGTGAACGTAGGAGTGTAGTGATCTGCTGTCGGAGCGACGGTGTCCCAGTGCGTCAAGGTCGCTCGGAGGTGTCCTCAGCTCATCCGAGGTGGGACCGTCCCTCCTACTGTCACCGTGCAGGTAGGTCTGCTCAGCCGGTGACCCTGGGCTGCTGGATACTTCTCGCTTGACCATGGACCAGCTGTTTTCGCCCAGGTCCATCCAGGAGCACTTTCCATACACTGTAGGGGTTAATAAAAATCGTCAGGGAGTAGTCCACCCTGTAACGACAAAAAAAAAAATTGCGTTAGAAAATCAGAAAACAAGCTGTACGCATGTGGGCGCAAAGTTACGGCCAACTGGATTTAAAATTCGTCCCATAAACATCTGGAAAGAAACTCGCCAAGTTCCCAGAGAAACGCAAATCCACCACTGATGCGCAGCTTGTTTTCATCTTTAAAAGAGCAGCCTACATTCCCACAATAACAAAAACTTAAGCGAAGCATCTGACTGCTCATTTCACGGCATGTTCATGTGTCATCTACAGCTCCAATAAAACACATCCAAACCGCAGTGGCTGCCATACTACCATCAAGCACTCTTAAGAGGCACTGGATCCGTCCATGTCAAATCTCTGTCCTCCCACACACGCGCGCACAAATACACACACACATAACAGATAGGAAACAAAACGCAATATGTCTTCACAGCAAAAGAGATAACCGTTTGATAAGACCCAAAACAGATAAGGGCCGAGAGGCAGGCCGGAGCGATAAAACAATACCCCGAAATGATGGTTTGGGTTCAGCTGCGCTCACAGCCAGATGTTCTAACCAGCTGCGTGAGGGAGAAAAGACACCAAGAGAGGGGGAAAGAGGAGACATTAGTCGCTTTCCAACACATACCTGCTAGTTGTGTGCCATAGGTCGCACGCAAAGTTCCTAATAGTGAGCCGCTGCTTCTCCTGGAAGTAATGGGAAATGTTAGTGCGGTCTGACGAGGTTTATGAGAGGAGGCGCTTCTGGTGGCTGCGGCTGCAGGAGGCGGACCAATCATGAGGAGCGTGAGCGGCAGGAGACACGATGGGGGTGCCAGCCTATAAACTCCTCCAATCAATCACACGGAGCAACAGAGCACAGAGAGAGAAAGAGAAACGGCTTGATCATGTTTGAAAGTTAGAATAATAATTTGAAAATGCAATCAGGCCGTAGAGAGCTTCGGGCTGACACGTAGCTCCACCCCTTCTCATCTGTTTTGCTTTTTAATTTTATCAAATGCAATTCCCAATCAATAACTAATACCTGTCCGAAGTTTAACCCTGTAAAATGCGCACTTTTAAGTCAAAAATATTTTTATCTTCAGTGTTGCAATGCTGCTTTTTGCTCTATAACATATTTAAACCCTTCTTCTTTCTACAGTGTAGCTAGATACATTTGCTCACATTAATTTTACTCTACTTGAATGTTTTAATTTCATTTTTACTTCTACTTAAATTTCAGAGGGAATTATTGTAAAAAAGAAAACTGCACTTTATTCTTCATACATTATTATGATTATACATAACAATCACACGGTTGATTAATAAAATACAACAAATTATTTCGCAGTTAATCTAACAAACTGTGTAAAATGTCACCAAAAGTATCTCAAGCTCGACCAACTGCAACAGGAAAATGCTACTTACACTTATTAATAATAACCCAATAATGTAATATATAACAATAAGAAATCACAGGGTTTGTTTGCATAATAAATACATATAATATCAGCCTATGTTTGTATAATATTCTCACTTTTATGTGTAATATTATTGCAAAGAAAAGTCTAATTATTGTCATGTTTAGTTGGGTAAAAGATAATTCAAATGCAATTTATACGACTAATATAATACATTCATGTTGGGATGTTCTCACACAAATATTATTTAAGATGGCTTTGATTGATAATCGATGACTAAATCCACAGTTGCCACCATCTTTAAAGTGCTACATGAATATGGATGACACGTTTATGAATATTCATCAACTAATACAGTTTATTTTATGAGGGGATCATGTGAGAATTTTAATTCAGGCCTGTGTTATTTATGCATATTTTTAATTTCCGCCTCGGTCTGATTTTTATTCCAGCTAAAAGTCTTGATTGAAGCTGACATCCAGCGCTTTGTTTATTCTCCGTGTCCACCGCAGTGATCAGTAAGCTCCCTCCTAATTAGTTTATTTAAGTCAGACGCTTTCATTGAGGATTAAACGCCCCTGAGCTGCGGAGGAGCACAAACTCTCCGCACGTCTCTCCGCTGCCGCTTTGAACCGCGATGATTCGCTCAGGCTGAATATACATGACTGTGAGTGAGGTGATCAAAAGTAGCGCGAGGTGTCAATTGAATCATTCACTCATTTGCAGGCGGTCCTCGTGCGTGTTCACAGAGTTTAACAAACAGTTGATCACACTCGCGACCATTCAGCAGGTATTTGTGTGTGTTTACATTCAGTCTGGATGGGAGATAGCTCTGGAGCATGAAGACTGAGAGATCTGACGACTCCAGCATTTCATTCATAATAATACTGCTAATACCACCACACAGCAGACTCAACTGCAGGCTGCAGCAGGTCTCCTACATTTATATTTTCTAATATTATTTCTGCTCCTAATGGGTCACTGCAATACAGAGGAGATCTGAGTCTCCAAATAGTAACACCATAATTACTGCTACTACCATAGCAATCAGCACTATAAAGACAACACTTAGCAATGGATTGCTAATTTACTAATAATACTGCAGATATATTGCTAATATATATAATATCACAATGCAGACTGGGCCTGTGGATCCCTGCTACTACTCTACTACTATTCTGCACTGGTAGCTGCAGGACTGGACTCACACTTTACTTCTAATATATTGCTCACATGTTATTAATAATGTAATATTCCAAAATGATTTCTACTAAATAAGAAATATCTAATAATGTGTCAGCTATTATTATAACAGCTATGTTCACTGATAGCAATAGGGTTACTGTTAGCTACAACTTCTACTATTTGACATACTGCTACAAATATTATAATTATTATCCTGCTGCTACTTTTTAAACTACTGCTATTGTTATTACTTATTTTATTGTTACTAGTGTCCTTAAAATTTCATTATTACTACTAGTGCTACCACAACTACCACACAGCAGACTGAGGTGCAGGCTGCAGGACGTCTGCAGTACTCTTACATTTATTTTTCTAATATTAGTACGACGGCTGCTGGGTCACTACGATACAGGCTGAGCTGCAGGGGAGGATCTACTGTTACTAATACTACTAAAAATAGTAATAGTATTACCATAATTGTTGCTACTACTACAGTAATCTGCACTGGAAGCTATAAAGACAACAATTTGACTACTAATATTGCAGATATGTTGCTGATATATGTTAATAGTCTGTGTTATTAATAATGTTAAGGTACAGGACTGGACTCACACTTTAATTCTAATATATTGCTTATATTTTATTAATAATACAAGCTTCTGAAATAATACTAAATTATAAATATCTCCACCAATGCTTCAGCTATTATTATGACAGCTATGGTCACAGCTATCAGTACAGTTACTGTTTCTATAGCAATTATAAAAGGTAACAATTTGCATGCATCTTTTTAAGTAGTAGGGGTAGTAATCTGACAAACTCATTTAGTTTAGTACAACCAACATGATTTGCTTTAACCTCGAACAACTAAATTAAGTTGAACCAACTTAATTTTTATCCAAAAAAGTATTTTATTAAAGATAGTCCAATTTATTTATTTATTTAAATGTCTAAGAAATGTATTTGATTTTGACCAGGTCCTTAAAATAAGTTGTGGACTGACTGAAATGCATTCATGTAACAAATATGATTTTTTTATACTGAAAAACTTATTTATTTTAAGCGTTATGAATCATTTCACTGTTGCTACAACTTTTCTACTACTACTAATACTGCTATAAACATTATAATAATTAGCCTTGTGCTACTTTTTAAACTATTGCTATTATTTCTTTTGTTGCCTCTAAAGCTACAACTGTTACTAAATTTAATTGTGCTGCTTTGATGCTGTGATGCTACACTATTAGCCTATTAACATGTGCTTTATTTTTCTTTTTGGCAAATGTGTAAATTAATGTAGCAAAACACAGAATTATTTATAAGATCTGAATGATTGTGCTACAGCAGCTGATAATAGTGCACTGAAGGCCCACTCACACTTTATATGACTCCAGTATTATAGCAGTATATTTCTGCAGCTCTGGATGTCTGCATTGATAACACTATTTGTAGGCTGCAGTTGCAAGTTCCCACCAAACTCACATGGTTTCATTTTACGGGCATATTATTATATTTACGCACGCGCACACACTGTGCTGTCCTGTAGGTCTCCGTTGTGGATCAAACTGGTAACAACGTGTGACAGCCGGAGAGGATTTTGGAGATGTGATTTCATCAGAGGGAGTAACCAAACCATGCGCTACTGTCTCCCATCCCATGGTCTCAGGGAGCAAGTTGTCAGGGAAGTGCGAGAATACAAAACCATGTTGTTTTTTCTCCTCTTTCTCCCCCTCCTCCTCCTCCTCTGACTTGCTCCTCACTGCCTGCATGGCTGCGGAGCCTCGACTTGTTGATGAATGAGGTGTTTTCGCAGTGATGTCAAAGTGTGCTGCTCTGACACACGGAGCCTGTGAGGAGAAGTGGCAGGACGCCGCCCTGTCTCCACATTTATCCACTGACGGTCAAACACTGTGGGCCTGTGTGGATGTCAGCCACGGTAAAGAGACACAGGCCCATAATCTAATTATCTTTATCGTAAATTAACTGGGGAACCAAGTGTGGCCTATATATCCTCAACTATATATCTTGTAGGCTAATAATACAGTGAAGTATTACATTAAATCGCGTTTACGCACGAGATTTTAACTCCATTAATAATAATTCGACAGCACTGAAACAGCCTCATAATAATAATAATAATAATAATAATTTAAGAGTAAATTCTAACCAATCCTTATATTAATTTGTATTTAAAAGCTTCCTTTTCCGAGTTTGCATTTTTATAGATTTTCTTTTAACCTGAGATACCATGGCCACACTTTTATCTGAATAATGTTTGTTTCTTTCAGGAGGTGTGCAGCTAATGGCCGACCCTCTTCAGGTGACAGTGCCTTATGTACCGACTTGATAATGATTATCTCCAACACTCCAGCACTTGTTGTAGCCTGCTCCTGATTAGCCAATACTGCTGCTATATGCATGATGTTATGGAGATAACAAGGAGCCGGGGGGGGGGGGGCACTGAGTGTGGAGATTATCACATCACATATCACATTATTACCCACTGTTAATTATTACTGATTATGATGTGGGTTTTTTGTGTATTTTAATTTATTTAAAATGTCCTGTGATTCAGTGAAAAAGTCTCTGAAGCGCAGTTTTGATTTCTCATCTCTGCTACACGGGGCAATAAAAGGCATTGTGGGTATTTAACACGCCCTGCACACACGGACGTCTCTGATGTTTCGATTATGATTAATGAGAAGAGACTGTGGCTACATGTGAAACATGCAGGAAACAGACTCAATTCATCATTTTAATCACCACTCAGCTGTTTCTTTTATCCCCCAGACAATAAGTGGTTGTATGTGGAGCCATGCATATTATAATAGGCTCTTAGTTGTTTTAATTTGGGGAGATATTTTCAAATGGAATGGGGGAAGTTTGCACCTTTTTGCTGACATCAAAAATAAAATTTGTGTTTATTTCCTGACAAAATGTCACTCAAAAATAAAAAGTTTGCTCCACTGATAACAGGCCTGCAAAAATATTAAAACACAGTCTGCTTCTTTAAATAATACTCTGCGTGTATTTCAGAAATTGAAATGTATTTGTTATATGCTGATGAAATAATAGACAATAAGAGGAGTCTGATGGCATGATATGCACCAATCAAATTTTTTGTTTC